TTTATTTATTTTTCATTAACAAACCCTGTATAATCCATTAATATATAGTTGGTTTGCTGTATGTTATATTAACAATGTAAATTCGTCTCTGTAATCCAAAACACACGCTTTGGTAGACGTATCTCACAGCAATTTCTGGTTAGCAAATTTAACTTTTATTTTTCATTGAACTACAAATATATTTCGGGTTGGTATAATATACTCCAACCCCTCTTCAGTGCTAGTTCAAATAAACAAAAAGTGTTAAAACATGACTATGTTATATTACATTAAATGAAACAAACCAAAAAACACTAAAAACACTTACATTTTTTCATTAAGTACACAACAAAAATTGTTTCTTATTTTGCTTTTTCACAAATTAGGAGGTAGGAGGGTAGACCGTTTACAAACATCAATTTATGTTTTAACTTAAATACTATGCATACCATATTAATATGTAAAATACAAAATAAAGATTGCTATAGTTTAACTCGAAGGAAAAATTGATACTAAGGACGGATGAATTCAACGTCTGTTCTCCAGATGTCCAGTCTGCAAGGTGGGGACTTTTCACTCCTCTATCCCCNAAATTTTGATTTTTATACAACTTTGATAATGGAATGGTTTTTTTTTTAGATATATTTAACTGATTGAAATTATAGATACAGTAACTTGGAATGGCATTATGCTAAAATAATAGACAAAGTTATCATTAAAGCTTTGACATTACAGTAGAACCCCTCTAGTCCATCACTCTGGTTAATCCAACAGTGGTCACAGTTGAGAAACTTGTACCGACTCACCGTCCGTGGCGTTCTTCTGTGTTCGTTACATTATATGTTTTACATTGTGTGTGTTTTCAACATGTCAGGAGTGAAACGTAAATACGTTACTCTTTCATTAAATGAAAAATTAGCAGTGCTACAAAGACTGGACAAAGGGAAGATTGTTTATTTTACTTTTTTCTGATAATCCGAACTTTTTTGTGTTCCGACCATACCCCCAGTCCCAAAGGTGACGGATTAGAGGGGTTCTACTGTACTTATTGTATATTCAGAATATTATAAATGTACAGAATACATTATAACCCATTCACTATACAACTTTTTAAACAAATTTTTCTGTTAAAATTTACAATTTTTTAGAATTATTATTTTAAGAATAAACAAGTTAAAATCACTCTTTTTTTTATCTGACTTTGAGAAAATTAAACACAGAGATGGATCACAAATTGAAATTAATAATTATTTCTTACGTTATTATCCATATAGAAACCACTGATAGGCTAACAGGCAAAATGCATATGGATAATAACGTAAGAAATAATTATTAATTTCAATTTGTGATCCATCTCTGTGTTTAATTTTCTCAAAGTCAGATAAAAAAAAAAGAGTGATTTTAACTTGTTTATTCTTAAAATAATAATTCTAAAAAATTGTAAATTTTAACAGAAAAATTTGTTTAAAAAGTTGTATAGTGAATGGGTTATAATGTATTCTGTACATTTATAATATTCTGAATATACAATAAGTACAGTAGAACCCCTCTAATCCGTCACCTTTGGGACTGGGGGTATGGTCGGAACACAAAAAAGTTCGGATTATCAGAAAAAAGTAAAATAAACAATCTTCCCTTTGTCCAGTCTTTGTAGCACTGCTAATTTTTCATTTAATGAAAGAGTAACGTATTTACGTTTCACTCCTGACATGTTGAAAACACACACAATGTAAAACATATAATGTAACGAACACAGAAGAACGCCACGGACGGTGAGTCGGTACAAGTTTCTCAACTGTGACCACTGTCGGATTAACCAGAGTGATGGACTAGAGGGGTTCTACTGTAATGTCAAAGCTTTAATGATAACTTTGTCTATTATTTTAGCATAATGCCATTCCAAGTTACTGTATCTATAATTTCAATCAGTTAAATATATCTAAAAAAAAAAAACCATTCCATTATCAAAGTTGTATAAAAATCAAATTTTAAAAATTTCTTGTCTTTCTTTGTATATACACAAAAGTGAAATTTTCTAGGTGTTTTTGAGGATGTCTTATTTCAAAGCTACACCGACTGTAGTATAATATCAGCGATAATAATTTTGAATTACTGATTAATTTGTATCTAGAGGACGACATAATTATTAAATTTAATAAGAGATCACACCTAACGCCTCCCTCTAGAGACAAATCAATCAGTAATTCAAAATTGTGTTTATTATATGGCAGATGGTGTAGCTTTGTTATAATGTATCTGGTTTTGTAGGATGTTTATAGATGCCTGTTATTTATAGTTTTTTCCATGCTTCATACTTTAAGAATTTTAAACTATAATTTTTGTCATAAGTTTAAAGAATTTAACAAAACTCTTATGTAAAATTAATAAATACTTGACTTACCCAATAAATATCAAAAGTGAATATATTAATATATTACATATAATATGTATACTGTATATATATATATGTAATAAATTGTAATAATTATTATATTTGTCAATCATTGTAAATCATGATTTTGTACCAAAAGTTTAAGGTAAATAACAAACTGATGGTCATGGTGATAAAGACATTAGGTGCTGCTATGAGGGATTCAGATTGGGAATTTTTCATGGATGAATCTATCCTGGATGTGTTTTCCCTCATCCTCTCTCATTGCCAGCCATTCCTTATTGTGGGCTTGGCCAAACTCATGATAGAAAGGGAAAAAGCTGTAGTAATGCCAGGGATCACTCTGGAAAATGAAAAAAATATTGCCAATCACTTTACCAGTTTTAAATTTTTTCACCACTCCAAATTATTTATTACAACCAGTTTTACTTAATAATTAATGCAAGTGCTGGTAGCCTTACCAGTTTGGAGTCTGGAAAGCAAAAGTAATGTTAAGATGTCATTTAGAAATATATCATTTTTGAATAATTTTGAATAATAATTGATCACAGCGCTTAAATAGTATTTCACAGGTTCTGTCATATTAAAATTTTTCGCTTTAGCTGAAGCATGCTTTATGATTCAATTTCATCCTGAATGTTGAAATAAGGGACTAAGGTCACTTTAATAAAAATATTGCCAAATGGTGATTTTGGCACTATGCAGCGCATGCTGTCTTAATGCTCACAAGATGAAGGCAAATATCAAAAAACCATATGTAAAAGCTTTTGAAATTATAAATTCACCCATTGATTAATCTTTCTACCTTTAATATTAAACTTTTGTGTTTTCAAAGTTTTGAAATTCAGTTTTTTTTCTTTAAATATAAAACATATCTTTTTGAAACATTTTTATGCATTACCCTGTATGAATTCCAAATTTAAATAAAAAGTATATAGATTTAATGGTTTTCAGAGGATTCCTATACTAAGATAATTAAACTTAATGGATATTCATAGTGGCTGAACTACAGTATTAAATTCACAACACTACACTATTTGCATGCTTCTTACTCAAATTTTTGTTTCAAATTCCATGACTATCCTGACCATCTTTGTACAAATTCCCACTCCCCATGTACCTTATAGTATGGTATGTTGATAAAATAAAACAGCTTTTGACTTACTATGCACATATGCTATTGCTTCTACAAATTTTTAGTTATTTTTCTAATTAACAGTTATATGTATTTTTTATAATTGCTAAATTATTAAAACTAAAAATAAAATGTTTTATTAAATTATAGTAATTTATTCTGTTATTAATCCACAACCATAAATGTACAGTACATGGCTTTTGTATAAAAGAAAAAAGTATTTATTTATTTATTTTTCATTAACAAACCCTGTATAATCCATTAATATATAGTTGGTTTGCTGTATGTTATATTAACAATGTAAATTCGTCTCTGTAATCCAAAACACACGCTTTGGTAGACGTATCTCACAGCAATTTCTGGTTAGCAAATTTAACTTTTATTTTTCATTGAACTACAAATATATTTCGGGTTGGTATAATATACTCCAACCCCTCTTCAGTGCTAGTTCAAATAAACAAAAAGTGTTAAAACATGACTATGTTATATTACATTAAATGAAACAAACCAAAAAACACTAAAAACACTTACATTTTTTCATTAAGTACACAACAAAAATTGTTTCTTATTTTGCTTTTTCACAAATTAGGAGGTAGGAGGGTAGACCGTTTACAAACATCAATTTATGTTTTAACTTAAATACTATGCATACCATATTAATATGTAAAATACAAAATAAAGATTGCTATAGTTTAACTCGAAGGAAAAATTGATACTAAGGACGGATGAATTCAACGTCTGTTCTCCAGATGTCCAGTCTGCAAGGTGGGGACTTTTCACTCCTCTATCCCCTGACCAAGTGATCTCTTCCCCTGGTTCTCCGAATTTATGACCATTGCAGATGTGGGGTTAAGGGGAGTGGTACACACAAACTTTTAAAAA